AGCAAAACAAAAAACAAAAAAACCCAAGTACACAGGTGACAAAAAAAACAATGAATGCAATAGTATCTCATATTTCAATACTAAATTGAATATAAATGGCTTGAATGCTCCACTTAAAAGATACAGAACCACAGAATGGATAAGAACTCACCAATCAACTATCTGTTGCCTTCAGGAGACTCACCTAATACATAAAGAATCACATAAACTTAAAGGGGTGGGAAAAGGGATCTCATGCAAATAGAAACCAAAAGCAAGCAGGAGTAGCTATTCTTACATCAGACAAAACAAATTTTAAAGCAACAGCAGTTAAAAGAAACAAAGAAGGACATTATTTAATTGTAAAAGGTCTTGTGCAACAGGAAAATAACATAATCCTAAACATATATGCACCTAAAACTAGAGCTCCAAAAGTTACAAAACAATTACTAATAGACCTATGAAATGAGATATGCAGCAATACAATAATAGTGGGGGACTTCTATATTCCACTGACAGATACATACAGAACATTTCATCCAACAACCACATAATATACATTCTATTCAACAGTGCATGGAACTTTCTCCAAGATAGACTATATGATAGACTATAAAGCAAGCCTCAATAAATTTAAGGAAATTGAAATTATACCAATCTCTCTCTCAGATCACAGCAGAATAGAACTAGAAATCAACTCCAAAAGGAACCTTCAGAATCATGCAAATACATGGAAATTAAACAACTTGCTCCTGAATGAACATTGTGTCAAAAACAAAATCAAGATGGAAATTTAAAAATTCTTCCAACAAAATGATAATGATACAATCTATCAAAACTTCTGGGATACAGCTAAGGTGATGTTAAAAGGAAAGTTCATAGCCCTAAGCACCTACATCAAAAAAAACGAAAGAGCAAGAACTGATATTCTAAGGTCACATCTCAAGGAACTAGAGAAACAAGAGCAAACCAAACCCAAAACCCAGAAGAAGAAAGGAAATTACCAAGATCAGAGCAGAACTAAATGAAATTGAAACAAACAAAAAACAATACAAAAGGTAAATGAAACAAAAAGCTGGTTCTTTGAAAAGAAAACTTAAATTGATAGAACATTAGCAAGATTAAGAAAGAAAAGAAGAGAGAAAATCCAAATAATGTCATTAAGAAATGAAACAGGAGATATTACAAGTGGCACCACTGAAATACACAAGATCATTCAAGGCTACTATGAACACCTTTATGCACATAAACTAGAAAACCTAGAATAAATGGATAAATTCCTGGAAAAATGCCACCCTCCTCAGGAAGAATTAACTATCCTGAACAGACCAATAAGAAGCAGTGAGATTGAAATGGTAATTTAAAAATTATCAACACGAAAAAGCATATCTATTAGACATTCAAAGAAGAAAAAGCATATCTACCAGACATTGAAGGTAGAATTATTACCAATCCTTTTGATGCTTTTTCACAAGATAGAGAAAGAAGGAGGCCTTCCTAATTCATTCTGTGAAGCCAGCATCACCCTAATACCAAAACCAGGAAAGGACACAACCAAAAAAGAAAACTACAGACCAATATCCTTGATGAATATAGATGCTAAAATCATTAACAAAATACTAGCTAACTGAATTCAACAACATATCAAAAAGATAACCCACCATGATGAAGTGGGTTTCATGCCAGGGATGCAGGGATGGCTTAACATATGGAAGTCAGTAAATGTGATATACCACATAAACAGAATTAAAAACAAAAATCACATGATCATCTCCATAGATTCAGAAAAAGCATTTAACCAAATTCAGTATCATTTTATAATTAAATCCCACAAAATTGGCATACAAGGGACATACCTTAATGTAATAATAGCTGTCTATGACAAACTCACAGCCAACATAATACTGAATGGGGAAAAGGTGAACACATTTCCTCTGAGAATGGGAACAAGACAAGGATGCTCACTCTCCCAACTCCTCTTCAACATAATACTGGAACTCCTAGCCAGAGCAATCAGACAAGAGAAAGAAATGAAGGGCATCCAAATAGATAAAGAAGAAGTAAAACTGTCCCTGTTTGCTGATGATATGATTGTTTACTTTCAAAACCATAAGGACTCTTCCAGAAAGCTCCTAGATCGGATAAAAGAATTCAACAAAGTTTCTGGATACAAGATTAATGTACAGAAATCAGTAGCTCTTCTATACACCAACAACAACCAAGTGGAGAATCAAATCAAGAACTCAACCCTTTTTACAATAGCTGTGAAATAAAATAAAATACATAGGAATATACCTAACCAAGGATTCAAGAGACCTCTACAAGAAAAGCTACAAAACACTGCTGAAATAAATCATAGATGACACAAATGGAAATACATCTTGTGCTCATGGATGGGTAGAATCAATTTTGTGAAAATGGCCATATTGCCAAAAGCAATATACAAATTCAACACACTCCCCATTAAAATACAGCCATCATTTTTTACAGAATTAGAAAAAAAAATTCTAAATTCATATGGAACCAAAAAAAATGCCTACATAACCAAGGCAAGACTAAGTAAAAAGAACAAATCTGGAGGCATTGGACTACCTGATTTCAAACTATACTATAAGGCCATAGTCACCAAAACAGCATGGTACTGGTATAAAAATAGACACATAAACCAATGGAACAGAATAGAAAACCCAGAAATAAACCCAAATACTTACAGCCAACTGATCTTGACAAATCAAACAAAAACATAAAGTGGGGAAAGGACACCCTTCTTAAAAAATGGTGCTCGGATAATTGGTTAGCCACATGTAGGAGAATGAAACTGGATCCTCATCTCTCATCATATACAAAAAATAACTTAAGTTGGATTAAGGACTTAAACCTAAGACCTGAAACTATAAAAATTTTAGAAGATAACATTGAAAAAACCCTTCTAGACATTGGCTTAGGCAAGGATTTCATGACTAAGAACCCAAAAGCAAATGCACTACTATGCTGGAACCATAGTGATATACACTAGTATGCAAATAACTAGTTGGGTATTGTCCTCTCTGAGGTACACATATGAAACTGATTTAATTTTTCACAAAGACTTAGAGTTATATGCAGATTTTATAATCTTAGTCTTGAAAGTACTATGTTAAATAACTGGAGAGTTGGCTCAAACCACATCAGGCCGGCCATTGTGCTGTCTATAGTCAGAGGTCAAACAGCAAATACCCTTGGCATAGTCTGCTTGTCTTCTGTTCTAGCTTCACCACTCATCCCTATCTGCAGCACAGAGTCCAGGAATCCAAGAAGAGAAACATGCTCTGAATGCATGTAACTGTGGTACACATCAGACAAAGGTATTCTTAAACTCTGCCTCCTAGAGTCAGCCAGAGTTGGAGTGTTCCCCTCCTCCTAACATATTGGAACCCATCCATGGGGAGTGAAGTGAACAGCTATAACTACCAGATACGGGTGTATAACATAACCACAGTACCTAGTGATGGTGTAGAAAGACTGAGACTTCATCCGCATTTTTCATTCTTCTGTCCTCAGTCCTCCAAAACATGTATAGCACAAACCACAACTCAATAAATAATACTATAAAGGAGCAATTACTGGATTTCAATCATGATAGTTACCTAAAGGTATATTCTGAACTAGTTACTATGAAGAGGAGTGTTGGGCTATTTAGTGAGACCAGTGGAAACAAGGTGTGACTTTGAAGCTAGCAAGGTAATAAGACAACTACACACACACACACACACACACACACGTGAATGAAAGATTCACAAATTTTAATTGGCTCAATTGTATAGTATTAAGACTTGTTCATCAGCCCAATAATGTGAGTAATTTTCATGCACCACTTAGGAAGCTTACATTGGCATGCCTCTAGCACTGATACTCAGAGGACTGAAGTTACGATATATGTGAATTTTAATTAAGCTTCCTTTCTATGGAAGGTGTTTCTGTTCCATTCCAGAGGTTTAAGGAGTAACATGTAGTTACTCATGGGAGACTTCTGTATATATCCAGCAACTTTATACTCATAAGTAAAGAAGTGACATATTATACAGTTAAAATAAAGAGAGAATGAAACCATTGTGGGAACTTTCTCCCCAGGAACACACATAGCCCAGGACAGAAGGCCCAGTCCTCAACATGTGTGCATGAGCACATGAGTGTGTGACTTTAGTTTGTTTCTGAAATTTTCTCACTAGAGATGAAAAACACTGTCTAAATAAACAAACAACATTTTTTATGTTTATTTCTTCTCAAGAAAATCATAGGATTTAAGGTGCTTTATCACCAGACCCTGTCAGTTTGTACAAGTTTGCTAAAACATACATAAAGAAGTTTCAGACCATAGGAGGAGACTTTAGCTTCCTTCCCACCACTGCCCACACTCTTCTTGTTTGTATGTTTCTAGTTTTCATTGGAGAAAATCCAAGCACTTGCTTCTGGGTGTGCAAGTCAGTGGAGAATCAGAACTATGGAGTTGGGTACCTAGGAAGGAAGTGAGGACTGGACTGAGTTTTTCAATTAAATGTTTTATTAGTAATTTATCTGACATATATTTGCCATAAGAATAATTTTTTAGTCTATGTAAGAACTTTTTTGAAACATCCCAGGAGGTATGTTTTCATCCCAACTCTACAATAAGTAGCTTGATGTTATTGATCAACAGGATGAGGAAGAGATAACTGCAATCCAGAGCTAAGGAAGCAGTAATTACAATATTCTAGGCACACCTCAAAAAAACAGCCAACATATTCTTTAAAAAATCTTGGCTTATAGTTTTCAGTTTTACTCACTGAAAAAATGACCGGTGCCAAAAGGTTTCATGTGGTCATACACATGGAGTCCAGTTTAAAAATAAATGAATGCCTTAGTACTGTCATTGAATTGTTTTTCTTCTAATATTATTAATATAGAATCTTTGACCATTGCGCATTCTGAATATATGACATTGATAAGACATGAAATTCTTTGGTCCAAGAAAAATAACTGGGGAGCAGTCTACCAGTGGTATGATGTTAACTTTGTCAAATAGTTAAATAACCAGAGAAATCAATATCTGCTTCAGGAATTGAATTTAATAAAATATTTTTATATGCATTCCTGTCTGGAATGAGTCTTAGATAACAGATAAGCTTTGGGTACTTATCGTGTTTAGGGGCTCTAGACAGCATTCCTGTATTGCTACGTTAAAAGTGAAGAAAGCCCTTTAAAATGAATTGTTGTTTCATATTATCAGTAAATTTTTGTTGAGCATATTATGAAATGTTACAGGGGTTTTAAATATACTACTGGATTTTAGTAATGTTTTTTCAGGTTAAATTACATTGCAGTAGTTTCAGGGAAATATTTCTACATATTTCCTAGGACATATTTTTAAATTCTGTCTTACCATTTATGAAGACATATTTGAACATATTTCTGTTTTCTTTTGTATTTTCACTGAGTCGTGTAAATGCTATATGAAAAAAGTACTTTGTGTTATTTCTCTGTATTTACAATTTCCTGAGTGCAATTCCTTGCTTTAAGAGTCTGTATTTTCATGCTTAGGCTTTTAGACCAGCTGCCAAAAGTCAATGTTTCTCTCTTGTGACATCTTTTTGGAGTGTTACATAACATTGAGCAACATTCCTCATCCAATCAGATGACAGCTTATAATTTAGCCATGTGTATAGCCCAAACATTCTTTACCTGTCTACTTCCTGCAACTCAGAAGTAGTAAATGAGTTCACCAAAAAGATAATGAGATGTCTCATTTTTATTCCCTGAGGAGCAGTGTTCCCACTTTGAACCTCAAATTCAGGATATTAATTCTGATGAACCACTTTTTTAAGCTGCACACTTTACTCACACCTCTTAAGCAGCAGTGTCACTAATCCTATTCTAGGAGTGGCAGAATGTAGAAGATATATGAGAAGGTAGGTTGTTAAATAGGAAATTGAAAATAGTGAGTCATTTCTTTCCTATCTAGGAGACAAAACACTAGATTGACTATACCACAAAGAGATAAGATAGTGGTGGTGTGACATGATGGGGGGAAAAAAAAGCTGTTCTTTGGAGTTTGACAAGCCAAGATTCAACTCTCAGTCTCATCACTGAGGGATGTGTAACCTTAGGCAAAGATTCCAAGCCACGGTTTCCTCATCTCAACAATGGCAGTGGTGATAAGTCCCAGCTCCTCTGGTCATTACTGATACTTCATTGGTGGTTTGAATTATATGAACACTCATGGCTCCACACATATTGCCTTTCTCTATCAATTGGGCCTCACAATTGGCATTCAGGGAACTACCTGGTTACTATTTTGTCTCTGCTACTGGAATGAAAAGCTAGTAAAACTTTATAGGATATCCTAAGATCACCCAGAGAGGAATCCTGAGACCAGACAATGCATGGAGATGGACTGTGGTTAGATGAGGGGACATTTTCTTTCCTGCTGCCTCCTTTCACAAAAGACCCTCAGAGAATCTCTGCTTCCCAAGTTTAAGATACTTAACAAGTAAGTCTACTTCACAAGTTTTTATCTATCTGGTGCTTTATAAATTTAATTAGAGTATATATATCTTTACCCCAAACATCCTATATGAGTTGCTTGAAAATTATCCTATTTTTAAAGATATGACCAGTGATATAAAATATAATTTAAACTTGGCTATAAATTATAAATTTAGCCCACTGATTATAATTATTTTAACATGCGTGCCCTAAATGCTCTTGAAAGTCATAGTTATTTCTTAGAGAAAACTGGTTTATATCTTTCTGTATCTACTCTGAATATTTTACAGAATTCTGAATTTCATGTTTTTTTCACTCCAACATTCATAGAGGAAATGTGATTTATAACTGTGCCACATGAAAAAAACACCCTCTTTGGCCCTTTTGTGTTACAGGTTTCTGTTGTACAACTTCTCATTGAAAACTGCCTCAGCATTTTTGGAGAAGACATCACTTCCCTCTTGGGGAAGAGCTGAATGGCTTGTGAAAACAATGATGGCTTTAGGTATTTTTAAAAATTCAGCTGGTTTTGATTAGAAACAGTCAGTGGGGCTGTCAGGAATCATGACAGATGTGTAGGCAGTGGTTGTCCTGGAGTCCAGGGCAAGCCCTAAGCGCAATGATGCAGGACACAGGACTCCATCTGCTCACTGTTCATAAAGCTGTGGTCATCTGCTGAGAAGGTCATCTGCTCCTTTTTCACTGTGCTCACTGAATGAAGACATTACAAGATCCCAGCTTTTCTCATTTGAGCTGTCCTTTTCCTAATCCCAGGCATCTGTGTTTGAGAACATCTTTGCAGATGATAGATTTTCTATCTTCCCATTTCTGCATAGGTATACAATAGAAGTAAAAGCCTCATGGGAAAGGTCAAAAACTATTAGATTTGTGAGACATGTGTCCATTTCCTGGATAGATTTCAAAAGGAAGCAAGAAGCCTTCATAGGCTTTTGTGTTGCTATAAAGCATAACTGAGGTGGGGTAATTTTAAATAAAAGAAGTTTATTTGGCTTAAGGTTGTGCAGATTTTACAAGAAGCATGGGACCAGCATCTGCTTCTGGTGAGGGACTCAGGAAGCTCTTACACATGGCAGAAACAGAAGGGGGAGCAGGCAGATCACATGGCGAGAGAGCAAGCAAGAGAGATGGATGGAAATACCAGCCACTTTAAACCATCACTTTTCCTGTAAACTAATTGAGCAAGACCTTGCTCATAACTTTGGGAGGGCACCAAGCCATTCATGAGGAATCCACCCCCATGGCCCAAATACCTCCCACTTGGCCACACAAACAGCATTTCAGATCATGTATCAAAAGGAGACTTGGAGTGAACAAATATTCAAACTATATTATTATGTGATGGTTTGATAAATTCAGAAAAATCTAATCAAGGTAATTGGAATATTCATCATCATTGGGGCTCGAAACTGATATTCAGGGTGCCACACTCTCTATTTCTCTCTTCCAGGATATTTCTCTCTTTCATATTGGCAAAAAGATTTTTTTGTAATTTGACTGTTGAATTTCTTACTTTTTCCCATTATCTCTATTAGTCATCTTGTTCTCAAGCTCAGTTGTTTTTTTCTTTCAGCACTTGTGAATATCTTCTCATTCCCTCCTGACCTGTATGGGTTCCATTATCACTCTGCTGCCAGACTATTTGGAGCTCTTTTCTATGTTCTTTGCTTATGTTCACTTGCTGCTTCTAACATCCTCTCTTTGTCCTTAACTTTTGAGTTTGACTATTGTGTGTCTTGGGGTTGTCTTGTTTGGGTCAAATCTGTTTGGTGTTCTTTCACTTTTCTGTATCTGAATATTCATATCTTTCTCAAGTTTGGGAATGTTTTTGTTATTTCTTTGAATAAGGCTTTCTACACCTTACTCTTGCTTCACCCCTTTTTGGGCAGCAATATTTCTTAGATTTAGTTTTTTGAGGTAATTTTATCCTGTAAGTGGTTTTCATTCCTTTGTATTTGGTTTTTTTCTCCTCCTCTGATTGCATAATTTCAAATCCTCAGTTTTTTGTAAATTGTATTTTAGGTTTTGGGGTACATGTGCAAATCATGCAGGACTGTAGCATAGGCACATAAATGGCAATGTGGTTTGCTGCCTCCATCCCCCCCATCACCTATATCTGGTATTCCTCCCCATGTTATCCCTCCCCAACTTCCCCATCCCCTGCTGTCCCTCCCCTACCTAGTCCCCCTCAACAGACCCCAGTGTGTGATTTGCCTTCTTATAGCCCATCCTCCACGCAGTAGCCAGAAAGTTTCTTTGACTCAAAGTAGAAATTAAATGAGCTACTTTAAATGTGGAACAGTACATTTCTTACCTATCTCAGTTGGTAGAACTACATATGGGATCCTTGATCCACGCCTTGTTTTCCTAGAAAGGATTCCTTGGTCACATTTGCAAATTCCTATATTTTTGTTTAGGAGAGTCAAAATGTCTATCAACATCTTAAAGTCATAGAGAAAACTCTCAGTGTTTTCTATTTTCCACATGTATTTGACCTTAGAGACACTTTTGTAGTAACCCTATTAATTACTATTCCTGAGAACATATGTAAATAAATATTGCTCTAAATTTATGTCTTAAATCACAGATTTGGCATTTCATTTACCGACTCAAAACCTCAATGGATCTCTGCTTTTTTTTTTTTCAGTAAAATGTCCTTTTTAAGATCCTCCACAATGTGACCTGCTCTTTTAATCTAATTTTAACTTTGCTTTTTCCAATGTAGATCTTTTGCTTTAGTAAAGGTCACACACTTTACTCTTTCCTAAACAAGATTTACTTGATTTTCTAACTACAATCCTCTACTCCCCTTGGTTTCTGTATCTCCACACACTAGGAAAGCCATTTTTGCTCTTTACTGTTTTCCCTGAGCATTCCAGCTCAAATTAAATGTTCCCATAGAACACATGAGCACCCTGCCCCAGTAGGCAATATCAGTAGGAATATATTAGTATGTTTATACATTGTCCAACAAAATAAAATTGTTGTGGTAAATGACTATATCTTGTGTTAGTTTTATGTTATTTTTATTTTTTGGTCTAAGAATGTTACTTAAGATATATTACTTTTAAAGATTTGCTCAATGTCTGCTAAAAATATATTAGTAAATATGTGCACATTTCTAAGAATGTAGAGATTTTACATGATTAGTAATGTCTGTATACTTTGAAGAGGTAGAATTGCACATATAAAATTTTTTATTTTTTTTTTTTAAGACGGAGTTTCGCTCTTATTACCCAGGCTGGAGTGCAATGGCGCTATCTCCTCCCACTGCAACCTCCACCTCCTGGGTTTAGGCAATTCTCCTGCCTCAGCCTCCTGAGTAGCTGGGATTACAGGGACGTGCCACCATGCCCAGCTAATTTTTAGTATTTTTTTTTAGTAGAGACAGGGTTTCACCTCGTTGACCAGGATGGTCTCGATCTCTTGACCTGGTGATCCACCCGTCTTGGCCTCCCAAAGTGCCGGGATTACAGGCTTGAGCCACCGCGCCCGGCAATATTTCAATGAGTGGTAGTACATTAATTTGACTAATATGTTTTGAAAATAACATATTCCCAGGGACATACTTATTCCCAGGGACATACTGGATTATAATATTTACATTCAGCATGCAAAAAATGAACATATTGATGTGGTATATTTGGGGATAATTGCATTTTTATGAAAATTCTTTTAAATATTTCTGCATTTGTGTGAAAAGAATTTTAGAATATCTTATCCACAATTTCAGAATAAAACAGGCAAAAAATATGCTTTGCAATGCATCTGTGAGATTTTGAGCCAGGAAGATATATAAAATTCTCTCAAATGTGAAAAGGAGAAAGGAAGTAAAGAAAAGCTGAGATTCCATTGATTTGTCAGTTGCAACTCATAGAGGAGGTTCTTGCCATATGGAAATACTGTAGTTAGTAAACATAGTTTTCTCCTCAGGGTATACGATATCTCCTTGAGAAAGGCAATTTATTTCTTAATTTAGAAGAAAGATCCTAGGAACTGATAAACTGTAAAAGGACCCAACAGTGTAATCTAAAGGGAGTAAAAGGCAATTTGACTTTTTTTTGAAAGGTTTTTCGTGTCTCTGTCTCCTTCAGTTCTGCTCTGTTCTTAGTTATTTCTTGTCTTCTGCTAGGTTTTGAGTTGTTTTGATCTTGCTCCTCTAGCTCTTTCAATTTTGATGATAGGGTGTTTTGACTAGCTGATATTGGCCTTTGCCACAGCAGGAAGTAAGATTGTGTAATCAATCAGTTTGTATGTACTGTTGTAATTAAGATTAGAGGTTTCCAAAAAAAAAGGACAGGTACATAAAACGCATATCTAATTTTATTTCAGAGAGAAAACACTCATAGGCTACCTATATTAGAAAACAAATTTTCATCGATGGTGGGGATTAATTACTAAGATATATTTATTTAGTGGAATATATATACACACATTTACATAAAAGCAACACACATTTACATAAAAGCAACTTTGGAGGATGGAATATATAATAATGCAAAAAGCCACCTTTTGTTCAGAAAGCACTGGGCACTGTCTTTCATTGGGCCTTTCTACACTTCTTTTCACGTTAACCAAATGTGCCAGTACTCTCAGGATCCGTAGTGGATGGTGATTCTATTTTCCATTTCTGTTTCATACTTTACTTGCCCATAATATTATTGGTACTATGAAAATACTGATTTCATTTTGGCCTTATGCCTCAATGCCAGCATTAATTCTTTGGCTTTTAATCCCTCCAAAGAATAAAACAGCTTCTTAGACAAGTAAGAGAAAATGCTGGGATATAAAATTGTCAAAAGAGAGTATAATTTCCTAAAACAGAAAAAGAGAAACTATATTGTGAGTTTTCTTTTCACAAATGTTAAGTTATAAATCCGGTTGGGAGGTAATGCATGATTATCCGTATCTTTTGTTTTTGTTTTTGTTTTTGTTTTTGTTTTTGAGATGGAGTTTCGCTCATGTCACCCAGGCTGGAGTACAATGGCGCGATTTCGGCTCACTGCAACCTCCGCCTCCTGGGTTCAGGCAATTCTCGTGCCTCAGCCTCCCGAGTAGCTGGGACTACAGGCACGCGCCACCATGCCCAGCTAATTTTTTGTATTTTTAGTAGAGACGGGGTTTCACCATGTTGACCAGGATGGTCTCGATCTGTTGACCTCGTGATCCACCGCCTCGGCCTCCCAAAGTGCTGGGATTATAGGCGTGAGCCACCGCGCCCGGCCCCGATTATCAGTATCTTAACAAACATCACCCTATTAGTGTCTATAGCAAAGAGCAGAACCCCATGGGAGTTCTGAAATAATTTGGATTGTCCAAAGTAGAATTGGGGGACCTAGGAAGAAGGACCAAAAAGTGAGGAAAAATATGGAAAATAAAGGTGTATGGTCTAAATTACAAGGTTACTCTATTTTCAATCTTTTCTCAGAAGACTAAAGATACCTAAGAATGTAAGGGAAGGATCTCCAGAAGATCTTGATTGAAAAG